CCTGTTTCAAATAAATTTAGAAGATGTTGAGAGTTCAGAGCTCGAAGAGTCTAAGCAAAGTCTTCAAATCGAGCCTGATGTTCATCAAAGAACCAAAACCAGATTAAGTCTGGATACGATACATCATTTCCTTGACGATGAGTCTTTGCCAAGAGAAAAAAGCAATGGAATCCATAAGGAAAAGCCGACAGCTGTGGCTCCTAAAATAAGCAGCCCTGGAAGGCCCAAGAAGAATGCGTCAATATCATTAAAAGTAAATTTGTATTCACTTTGGCTATAAGGTAGTTTTCTTACATTTAATAAGAGTACATTCATTGATTAACTATGTACTGGAACATGAGTAAATTGTTTTGTCATACTGTACTCTGTCTATGCATATTAACTTTTGATACAAAGATTGTGTAATAAACATACTTTTTTGACATTAGGCTAAAGAAAGTTTAAGATGTGAAATATGTCAGCAAGAATTTACGAAGCAAGCACTGTATAAGAAACACATGGAAAATCATGCACAAGAGAAACCGCATCGATGTCCAAAATGTTCAGCATCTTTCAATGTACCGGTAATGACAAGTACTCCTTCATTTTCTTTAGTACTTTTCATAAACTTAGGTAGAAATTAGCCACAAGAATGATTGTAATTCTACCTCCTGTATGATTAGACTAACTTTACGCTTCATATGGCAACTCATAATACTGGTGACCCAAAGTGTCCTGAATGTGGTAAAAAGTTTGCAAGGATGGCCAGCTTGAAGTCTCATATGCTGTTACACGAGAAAGAGGAAAACTTATTCTGTACAGAATGTGAAGACGTTTTCTCAACTAAAGTGAGTTTAAACATCGAATGTTTGACTTTTTATACTGCTTGATTTTTATTGTAAGTAATTCTGTGTAGAACTTGGGAAGCATTCTTCTCAGCAATAAGCTATATATTGTTATCACAGGCTCAGTTAGATGCACATCAGAAGCTTCATGGAGAAAGGTGGACAACTGAAGAGGCAAGGAAATGTAAACTCTGTAATAAACAGTTTCGGCAGCCTGCACTGTATCGACTTCACATTCGCGAGCATTATCGGGTAAGCAGCATGCATTGTCTAGTTGTTTTTTAGTACACTGACATTACTCCACTAATCAATATTGTGTCTGTTACATGATGCAGTTGCAGACAAAGGTAGTAAAGCAGACAAAACGGGGAGCAAAGCATAAAACGGTGTATAAATGTACAATATGTTTAAAGTCCTTCCAAAAACCGAGCCAATTAATGCGCCACATTCGAGTGCACACCGGTGAAAAGCCTTTTAAGGTAAATTAATCCTGAATCCGTGTGATTATGATCTGATCATTGTTTCACTCGATATGTATTGAATTCCCTAGTGCACAGTGTGCGACCGTGCCTTCACACAAAAGAGTTCTTTACAAATTCATATGTGGCAACACAATGGTATTCGACCACACGCTTGTGAGCTTTGTAACGCCAGATTTAGTCAAAAAGGTAACCTTTAAGCTTGTCAGAACATGACATATTCCTTCTCTTTCATCACGTTCATTCTCAACAGTAATAATAGGTCGTGTAAACATACAAAATTTACTAGAAATTTATCAAAACGAAACATTTGTAACTGTATACTGTTTCACAGGTAATTTAAATGCTCATATAATGAGAGTTCATAATGTGCCAGAAGGAGAGCCTATATACGGATGCAATTATTGCTCATGTGTCTTTAAGAAGCTTGGTAGCTTGAACGGCCATATGAAACGCATGCACGCGGAAGTGAACGAGGTAAAGCAGAAATAATGAAAATACAGATTAACCAAAGTACAGTGTAAAATGCTGTGCAACGATCCAACTCGAAATTGTACTATTTTCAGGACAGTGTCACGGTAAAAAATTACGAATCGACGGACACCATGGAATCAGATATTCGTGCCACCGTAGACAGTGTCATAACGCAGCTGGCCTCTCTAGAATCGAACACAGACGAGATTCGAAAACCGGAAAACTTTGTAGGGAATACGTTGTTGTCAAATGTCCCAACGAAGAAAGACATTCTGCAGCAAGCTCTGAGAAACAGTGGGCTTCCTAGTAAAAACAAAACTGTTTGCGAAGGTATGCGAAGCACTCGACACAAGCGAGATCATGGCAAGTGTACGTTTAATAGCTGCTTTCTCGTTTATAAAACTTATTTGTCAAAGGTCCGTCGGAAACGAAAAAGTTGGAAGCGCGCACAAATTTCGTTACCTTGTTGGACCGAGCACCAGACAGCGGCACCAGGTAGTTTACACTCTACAAATTTCATATGTACAAGTATACGTGTAATGTGTATACATATTTATGTTTAGTGATACTTAACGGTTGCTTTTGTTGCACGTCACTTGTATCATCCATTGTATGTATCCTCTTATCCCTTTTTATTTTATAGAAAGTACTTAACAATAAAACAACGGTGCGTAGGAAACGTAAGATGGTATTCCTGTACATTCTGCCACAAAGAGTTCAAGAAACCGTCAGATCTGATTCGCCATTTGCGAGTGCACACGCAAGAGAAACCATTCAAGGTAGGAGGAGAAATTAATGTACCTTCCAAAGTACCTTCCCCTACACTTCCTAACGCTCTTCTGTGTTTAGTGTACGCACTGTTATCGTTCCTTCGCTTTGAAGTCCACCATGACAGCACACGAACGTACCCATACCAACATTACAAAGTACTCCTGTGGTTCTTGCGATGAGACATTCACCTGTCATGGAAGCTTGGTCGCTCATACAAGGTGAACAATCTATACACTTGTTAATTATTGTAAGCTATCCAATGCACTCCTAAACACTTACGTTTTGTCGTAGGTTACACGAGAACTCCAGCGAATGTTTTGACATATCAGCTGGCAACGATAACGCTGACATTGACACAGCAACCAACATAGGCACTCGCAACGACCAACTGAAAGTCAACGGGAAAAGTAAGAAGGTGCCCTCGAAATCAGAGAGCTTAGCGTCGCAAGTGGTGTTGCAGGAGCCGTTGGTGATCAGTGATTCTGGAAACAAAATATGCGTCGTCCAGATACCTTCCAAGAAGCGAGTGTACGACGCGACCGTTGACCCAGCTAGACCACACAAATGTTGGGTGTGTCAAGCGGCGTTTAGGAAAATCAGTCACTTGAAGCAACACCATCGTCGACACACTGGGGAACGTCCGTACAGGTGTACCAAGTGCGACAGGTGCATCAAGAATTATCCATCAATTATTGTCTCTCTTTCCTTTCTTCTTTCTTAACACGTTGAGTGCGGCGCCGATTTTGCTATACTTTCCCATTCACGTTCCCCATTAACACTTTGCGCTCCAGAGACTCCTCTGAGTCACCAAATGATTTGACACAGCAAAACTGTGAACTCTGATACTTAATATTAAACTTTGTATAATGCTTCAATGTAGGAAATATTGAAAGAAAATTTCATCTCTATCTCATTAGAAAATACTCAACGTGTTAAACGTCTCCCCTTGCAAGGCAGTGTTTTACCTTGCCACTCGTTGCAGGAGATTTACGTCGAACAGTGTTCTGAAGTCGCATTTGCACACGCACGAGGATTCCAGGCCGTACGGGTGTTCCATTTGCACCGCGAAATTTTCTACTCAGAGCAGCATGAAGAGACACTTGGTTACTCACAGTAACAAAAGGCCATTCATGTGTCCATACTGTCACAAGACGTTCAAGACTTACGTGAACTGCCGTAAACACATGAAAATACATAAGCATGAATTGGCAGAACGGGTACGGTATCTGTTGCCACAGAAACATTCTATACTGTAACCAATTTATTATTAATCACCAATTATTGGTTACAATTCCCTCCGAACAATAGCAACTGGAGCAACAGAAATTAATATCGCAAGTACAAGCAACGAACGACTTGAACTCGAAAGAAAACTGTGGACAAGGAACAAGCACCGAACTGTCCTGTTGCGCTGCATCCATTTTTTCTCCTAACGCCGATGACGCCGCTCTCAGCGTGGCTACCGATGAAACTGGCGCTGGTAATATCGTCGCAGCATCTTCCACGTTCACCGACAATCTTGCACTCTCCCGCCTTGATCCGGTGGAAATGTCTTTTCAAGAACGAATGGCGTCAAACTACTCGCAGACTTTCTCGAACCAGCTTCAAACCATAACCGAGGAGAAAGAGAAAATGAGACCACTGTTGTCGACGAATTGCTCTTCGACGACTATCAACCGTACGCATAGAACACCTTAAACATATGAGAATTTCCGTTTCCATAGAAATTATAGTTACAGAAATTATGATAAGAATGTTCTTGCAAATTGAATCTATGTGTGTGTGTGTTTTTCAGAAAGTGTGACAGAAATAACGGTAACGAATCTAGAAAATTCACAAATGCTGCATATTGATGAAAGTGGCTCTGTCACGTTGCCAGTGTACTCAACCGATCAAGCTCTCACACCGGTAATCGTTTGTTTATTATTATCTGTTTCTAACATTGTAGGAGAGCAATGTAAGAATACATTTGTTTATTACTTGTTTCTTATATCACAGGAGAGCATACAAGAAATAGAAGACACACTGAACCAGCAGCTCTTCAACATTGGAATGAACCTCAATTTGGGAAGCGACCATTCGAAGCAGACGTGCAGCGCCAGTGAGCTGCAGAATGTGAAGATACAGCACCAACAACCCGCGCTGAACGTTATTTACACGAGCAACAATAACTCCAGCAACAGCAACAACGCAGAGCAGTGCGGTGAACAAGTGTTCGCGTCGCAGCTGGATTCATTCGAGATGGATCACATCACTTTGCAAGTGGGACTGAGATAATTTTCCAAATATACTAGACTACTCTACAGAAGAAGCTGTTGTTACAAAGAATTATCTTCTATCCATTTATCTTTCAGCCGGAAACTGAAATAGCACTGGACAATATTGGCCTGGACACAAACAGTTCAACGAGCATGGCAAGCATACTGCCACAAAATGTGAAAGAGGAGCGTCAGCTCGCCGTTTCTGTCGCGTCGCCAGAGAACTTGAGCAGCAGTCGCCAAGCAAGTAGGTACATGCAGACTGTAGTGTTAATTTCCGAGGAGAATCTTAGAGAAAAAGGAATCGGAGCGAGCTACAACGAACTGGAGGTGCACGAGCCAGAGAAGAACAGCGACCGGAGACAGTGCGTCGCTAATGATCCAACCTTGTTAACGTAAGTGGCCCAAATGGTTCAGTGGTTCTCCTTTTTCCACATAATTTGCTAGTAGGTAAGAAACCGACTGATACGTATGTGTACACGAATGAACAAATTCTAATTGGATGGGTATAATTTATAGAGAAGAGTTTCGACGAAGAACGAAGGTGTCGAAGCCACAGATATCGTTGTCGTCGTCGTCCTCCTCGTCCTCGACGTCGTCGTCACCTTTGATCCTGAATAATCAACGCGTCGAAATCGATGCAGGCCAGTCGTGTCGAGAGGAATCCTTGCTACAGTGTCATATGTGTAGCCAACAAGGATTCACAGCGACCAAATTGAAGGTATAACAGTGTAAACGTTTGATGAAGAGTCGTTCATTTTTTAACATTTTTAGTCTATCGTTTAATTGCTACTACGTGCATGTAACATTCTAGATATGTATAACACAAATCCAAAGTAAAATTTACAAAATCGAATCCCTTAGTCTCTTCCATAAGTTAGAAATTTTGGTGTTCATTGTGTTAATTTATTTCAATTGTAGGAACACTTGAAAGTCCACCGTGGGAAAAAGGAGTACCAGTGCACGGAGTGTTCTTCAAGATTCTATACAAATGGAGGATTGAACAGACATTCGAAGACACATACGAATAAACAGTGAGTATCAACTGAATGAATGACTAGAGATCGCTTCGATGAGCTAACAGTTCATTTTTCAGACACTGGAAGTGTTCGCTGTGTGACAAGTATTTTGATAATAGAATGCAACTGCGGTCGCACAACAAAGTTCATGAGAACTTCTCGTGGAATGCTACGCCTTCGAAGATAAACAATAATAAAGATATTCCGACCTTGTCGGAGATACGAGTGGCGATAGTTAACGAGTCGTTGAACGATATAGTAGTGGAGGATTCTGATTCGGCTGTGTCGGAAAGAGTTCTACTGGACACGGTTGCGGAGAGGAAGGTGATGGACCGAGTTGGAGTAAGTTGAACGTAGTTAACCCTTTGTTCTACAAGTGAGAGTCTTGGTGAAGATTTACAACGTGATTTAACGAATATATATATATATATATATTTTTCTAATATTTTATTGCAAAAATTTATTGAATTAAAGAAAATATAGTTGAGACTGTCACCAAAATAAGCGTTGGTAGCGAACGTGTCACTGTGACTACCATTTTCTCATCGAGCCAGACATTCACCATAGAAACTAGAAATATAATGAAATATTTTATTTGATCCCAAGTAATGTACACCTTGCATTTCAGTGCGTAACGACGGAGAAGAAGGAACAAAAGGAGTATACGAATAAATGTAAATACTGTCCAAAGACGTTTCGCAAGCCAAGTGATCTAATCAGGCACATACGTACACACACAGGGGAACGGCCGTACAAATGCGACTACTGTAACAAATGTTTCGCCGTGAAGTGTACCTTAGACTCCCACACTAAAGTTCACACGGGCAAAAAGACGTTTCGCTGTCACGTGTGCAGCAGTTTGTTCGCCACGAAAGGCAGCCTGAAAGTCCACATGCGTCTACACACAGGTGAGTAAACATAAATCTCTATCCACGCACAGATTCTTTAACAGCTTCCACGTACAGGTTCAAAACCGTTCAAATGCCCCATCTGCGACTCAAGATTCCGCACATCGGGTCACAGGAAGGTGCACTTACTGAAGCACGCGCGGGAGCACAAAGGTAACTTGAAGAGGAAACAAAAGCACCTGAAAGTCGCTGCAGTAGCAGAGGTCGCGGCTGACATTGGAAAATCCGACGCAAAAGAGAAAGAAACTTATGAAGAGGAGGAAGAAGCAACAGAACAGGAACAAGATAACCATTACGAGCAGGTCCCTCAAGTAACCGAACCGGAGTACTCCCATTTGCAGGCGATCAGCGTCGAAACAACTGCCTCGTGCTTAGCAGACCAAATCACTTTTGAACCCGAGGGTTCCGTTCCGAACAACAGCTCAATCCTGTCTGTGAACGAAGGCAATCAGCTGGTTGCCAACTTGCACTTCTTCCTGGCGAACGGTTTGGTCACCATTCAGACAGAGGAATCTCTGTTGCCGCAAGCGGCGTCGGCTGCTAACGCGTTGCATCACTCGACTGTCGTCGCCGACCCCATGTGCGCATCTGTGATAAGCATCACGCCGGAGGCCAGCGGCAATCAAGACGTAACTAAGGAGACCGTCCGCATAGAGGACACGTTGAAACTGTCGTCTCCGTATCAGTTGCAATCGAGTAACTGTCTGTTGACCGACGTCGCGACTCCGACGCAAATGGAACCGTTCCCCAGGCTCGCGGTCGAGAAATGTCTACCGGCCTCAGAGAAGACGCCCGTTAAGGGAAGCTCGTCGAAGAAGGAGTGCGACGTCTGTGGGAAGACGTTCACAAAACCGTGTCAGGTGGAGAGACACAAACGGATCCACACCGGCGAGCGACCGTACAAATGCGACTTGTGCGTCAAGTCGTTCGCTCAGAAATCGACCCTGCAGATGCACCAGAAACACCACACGGGGGACCGGCCGTACCCCTGCCCCTACTGCGAGTACTCCTTCACGCAGAAGGGCAACCTCCGGACGCACATGAGTCGCGTCCACCGGCTGGACACCGTCGACTCCAGGAAAATGAAGTACAACCGTCAATCGTCGCACTGCAAGTCCCCTCAAGCCAACCTGGCCGACGCCAAAAGTCTGAACTTAGATGATATACCGTTTATCGAATTTCTTAAATAACATTTGACGTAACCGCCAGCTCACCTGTCTCAATTCCTTTCGCTTCCCTGCCTTCTCTGGGAGCTTGGAGAAAAGGAGAAGGATCTTACCATAGATAGTCGTTCTTCCTCTATATATACGTGTCGTTGATGTATGACTGATGGACTATATTTTCACGAGAAATACAAGGGCGTTCTTGATGTACAATCGTGTTCGTATAAAAGTTGAAAGGAAAATAGATTTCGTACGTACACATTGAGAATCGAGGACACTTTGAAAGTCAAGATAACTCAGTGTTTGTAAGCACAATTCGCCTCGGTCACGGGGCAGCCATTAGGGTGACGCTCGTGGAACCAGCAAGGCTTCACCTTCCTTCTAACCGACGATTTCTTTCTCTTCGATTTTTCGTGCACCTCTGTCCCCGGTACTCGGAACTCGACTTTCCCTTGCATCACTCGGAACACGTGACTGTGATTTTTTAGCAACGTCTGCAGACCCCCGCATTCTTTGCGCAGGCGTATCAGACTTTCTCGCGGAATGGACTCTGCTAATTGCCGCAAATCGAGACGTCGACCAGCGTTCCAATTTTTCTTCGTGGACTCGTCGAGGGAAATCAGGCGACCGTTTTCGAGCAACTGATTCGCCACGATGTTGACGATATTAGCGATCAACGTTTTCTCCAGCTGCGTGCAGTTCCGTACCTTTTCCACGGTGTCCCTTGGTTTAAAGTCACATGTCCATCCGTTTACATGGGAGCCTTCATTTAAATGCACGTCCGTCTTGTTTTCTTGTTGAATCAGTGTTGCTTTTGCGCTTATCATCTCTCGGATGCGATTTTCCTTCGCTTCAACGTCGTCGTCGCCTGTCCTCTCCCACCCGACTAGACAGATTCGTTTCGTGGATGGGATTCTCAGCTTGTCGACGTACGTTCTGAAGCCACACACGTTGCACACGTGTTTCAGGTAGTCAATGTATTCCGAGTACTGGCTCTTCGCGGCTGAGTATCTTTGGTATTTTGTACCGTCGAGTTCGTACGGGCAACAAGGTAGCAGGAACAAACGACAGTCAGTGGAACTACGTGCAGCGATCACTGGAATCCAGGGTGACAATTCATCCGAATGATTGCCTATAATCCAATCGAATCCTGGATACACAGTTGCAGAGGATGGGATAATCGTACAGACCTGTGGAAAATAAAAAGCTGGATATAGGAAACTATGCTTTATCCGTTTATTAAATATTATGGTACTTTGATGGATCTAACTGCTTTGTTGTTAATATTTGATTGAGAATAAGAGAAAATTCCAATCTTGTTCTATGTCAATGTGTGCTCTGAGGTATACTCATTGATGACAGAGGAATAATATGTAACTTGCATTCGAACGAACTGAATATTTGTGTTTATTAAATTCTACTGGAAATCTTCACCACGAATTTGACATGATACTGTAGGGCAAGGGATTAATGGAATTTACACTACCTGGAGTGGTGTTTCAGGAGGATACAAGTCCCAAATTTTTCTTCTACGTAAGTCGATTCCTAAGCCGCGATGACCTTCGCTGAATAAAATGTGCACAAGTAAACCATTGCCACAGCCCAAATCCACAAACGACTGTAAATTTTGAGTTCCTCTCTCCAATCTTTCTTTCTCCCATAATAGCAATAAGTAAGTAGCAATAGCGATATCTTCGTAAACGAATTTCAACGGATCCGTATTTTCCGGCCAATTCTTGATTAATTCTGTGCTATACTTTTCTTTTAATTCCCAATACAATGTCGCGTATCTTTCCGCTGAGATGAGACTCAACGATGGCAGATGGGATGCTGCAGCCTTTGGTATGGCTCTCATCCACTTTAACATACATGGGAAGAACTTAGTTTTCAACCAATCTAGACTACAATCCTCTAATGAGTTTTCCAATTGATACACGCTTATTGATGTGTAACCATCTTTCCCTTGCTGTATCGCGTATGGTCTTTGTGGACCTAGAGATTTCTTCTCTGTACAGAAGGATTTGTGGATATTTATCACCCGATTTTCTTCTTTTTCCAATAAGGAGAACTCAATGCAACAGGAGAATAAATTTGGTACACGAGGTAACTGTTTTCTCACATGCAGGAGAATATTAGGTTTAGACGTTGGAGCAGAAACATTGTCTGCAATACATAATGTGTCCAGTAGCTTCTTTATATCTACATTGTTCTCATTAGGTGCTGCAGTTACAGAAGAGAGATCCAAGGCACAAATATTTAGAAAAATCTCAGTTATATTGCAGTCAACTTCGACATTTAATAGTTCCACGCATGTTAACAGTCTTCTATTAGCAACTTGAGGATTATGATACCAAATGTCAATGGCTTGCCAAAACTGTGACTCATTGAAGTTGGTTTCTACACTCGTTAATGTCGTAAATTCCATTCTTGTAACACAACTATACGGATTTCTCGATAAGTGGAGAACAAAACAATTAGAAGCATCTATGTCCAAGGGAATGTATTAGCTTCTTTATTTCTCCTTAGACTTTGCTGTTTGTTCCGTTTTACAATACTAAAAATCATATGGAAAAAATAATTCATCAAACTAATGCATCGATTGAAAAAGATTGTATAAACATGTACCTTATTGATGATCCATTCCGCGTCTTGCACTGCCTTTTTCATTATCTGTTGCACACGTTCCTCGTCCGGTTCAATTATGTGTTGCTTATAACTCTACGAACAATAATTGCTTAAGTAGTAGGCACTTGGGTACTTACGTACGCAACTATTCTAAGGAAATGCTCGAAAATTTGAATGAAACTGTCTGTTAAATCACGTGGATGCAAGGAGGTACGTTTCTTCGCTCTAGTAGACAGCATGAAGTTCACCTGCTTAATCGAATGTTTATAAAACTGTTGTGCATCCTTCGGTAACTTTTCACATTCTCTCAGTAAAAACTTATAAAGCAGTTTCGGGGAATTCAAAGCAGTCTCGCGTAACTTTGCGCTGGCCATTTCGACGAGAACGTAAAATGAAAACGATGCGGAAACAAAGGGATATTTGTGCGCAGTTCCGAGATTAATATTATTCTTTCGAGTTCTATTAATATTCACTCTGGCTACTTATCGGGATAAATTTAACTTTGAAAATTTCCATACTACTTTGAACATTCATGAAATTTTCAACAATCCACCGACTGATTTGAATGAATGGAACTGCGGAATTGTTCGGAGTTCCATCTATTGCGGCGATCCGGCAGTTTACTGAAATATTCCAAGTCCACTGCGAAATAACTTAAAAAAGTCTTCAAAATTCAATCAGGGTTCAAACATTTTACCACAGGTGGTGCCAGCTGTCCAAATATCGTTTTTACCGTGCCAATGATTTTTACGACAATTTACAGACTACCTTGCGAATTCTATTTAATCCTGTATTTAAAAATTTAATACAAACTTTATACCAGTCTCATAGAGTGAACTGAACATAAGAAAATGCTGCATGTATCAATATGATAGTCTCCCGTTAGGTAGTAGATATAGAATTGTATCTGGTTGATACAAAACACTTTTAGTTACGAGACGTGTGGCGATTCGCTGGGAACAGTGGTGTTCGATAGTTGTTAATTACGAAGTTGATTGATTATGATACAGTTACGGCGGTATCTAGTAAATATTTCGTCAAGGTACCATGCATCGAGTAACACGAGGGTAATGTTGGTACATGGCAAAAGTAGTGGGGAACACCCGACTGCTGGAATAATTGGTACAACAATAAGAATAACCTATGCGACTGGCAGTTTTGCACTCACATGCGTCTCGCTTCTCCTCGCATTAAAGAATTTTGTTCTTTTTAGTCGTCGGAGATGAAATCTTGAAGGCACAAGTGAAAGACACTAATTCTTTTTACGCAAGCAGTTTGCTGTACAAGCATGGAATCAGAGTTCAGAAAGTTAGTTTCCACGTGTTTACATATATACTGTGCGATCGTCAGTGTGGCATATATCGATGTTATACACGCGAGAGATTTATAACACTGTTCGGTTGTAGATCGCGATCATCCAAGACAACGTTGAAGATATCGCGAAAGCAATCAAATATTTTTCTGCGAACTTTAATTACGTCTTTACTACCGGGGGTATAGGGCCAACTCACGACGATGTTACGTACGAAGGTAATTATGTGAAACCACTCGAAGACTATACACCTCGATAAACGCAATTTATTCTGCAGCTGTGGCATTGGGTTTCAACGATACGCTACATTACCATCCAAGATTGGTGGATATAATAAAGAATCAATTCGGTTGTAACAGCTTTCCTTCCCCTGCGTATAAAATGGCATATGTAAGTACCAGTTACAGTAAAACAGCACAAGGGAAACTCGAAACAGAAAGCAATTCATCCAACCGTATTATAGATTCCAAAGAAATCTACCTTTAAATTCGGAACGAACGAAGTTACAGGGGAAACGTTTCCTTATCCGTGCGTAGTAGTGGAAAATGTTTATATCTTCCCTGGGTCACCCAAATTCTTTGAATCTTCTTTTCAGTCTTTATGCAAGGTAAACTATTCTCAACTAGAAATGTTGTTGTCGCTCGTGTGTTCGAGGGAACCAGTTATAAGAGATGTTTATAGGAATTGTTTGCTGGATACAAACGTTTTGCAACCACAGAAGTTTTTATAAATGCAGGGGAAGATTCCTTTGCGCACATCTTAAATGACGTTGTACAGAACTATCCCAATGTTTCATTCGGATCGTATCCAGAATGTAACAGGTAATAAAACCAAAGGAGAAACGAAAAGCAATAAATGAACAAACCTGGTGGAACGTTCAGCGTTGACTCGGATCCATTTAACGCATTGTTGCCAATAACCGTGGACCTTTACAAGTCAAGAAATGTTTCTTTCAGGTATTACAAAGCGCGTGTCACCATAGAGAGTGAGGACGAGAGGGACACCGAAGCAGCTAGAAAAATGTTTTGCTCCCAGATTTCCAGCGCAGTATTAGTGCGTTACGATCGAACCCCTCACATTGATTCTCTCAGCAAATACGAGAAGTTGCTTGACACATTAAAACGTCCATCGATTTACGAAAAGCCCTTCGAAATATTCCTGTAATGCATCTTGAAATGGAAAAAAGGCTCTCTTACTCGTGCCATTAGATTCCCGGTGCCAATGGATTTATCAATTTGTCTCTTGTTCTTTTTACAGAAAACATTACCGAAAACCAGAAGACGTCTGGGTGTATTTCGACGGCAGCGCAGAGTCGGTGATTTCGGTGCACCTTGCTCGCGTCGCTGTCGAGAAACTCGGGCATCCTTCGGAAACGAAACTGCACGGAATCTATTTGGAACAATCGGATGATTCGAGAACGGATATGAACAGGTTTCTTCAGGAGATTAGCCAGAGGTAGGTGGAGCAACTGTTTTGGAAAGCGCAACAGTAAGAGACCGAATCGGATTTATTGGACTGAGCCGTTTCGATAGGTACAACGTGGAGTTGTGCAGTCTGGGAAGTAATAAAAGGATTACAATTAGACCAGAACTACGAATATTGCTGCTCGGCAGGAGATCGAATGATAACAAGAAAGAAGTCTACGAGCGTGTTGCACAGTTGAGTGCCGACTCCTTTCCTAGCGTACAAATACATTTTCCTCTTATGGACTGGACGGACGAAGATGTTACGACTTTCGTCAGCTCTCTCTCTCTACCTTATTACACAACGGATCAACCTCGATCTTATCGGTAAGAAAACAATGCATCTCTCTCTCTTTTTTCTCTGTTTCGTCATTTATTCCTGCTTTTTCTCTTTCCCCTTTTGGAAAAGATGAGACAGTTCCCTTCTGCACACGAGCATAATCTGTTTCCGTAGATGAAAGGCATCTCGCGGGGGACGCGGAGAAGAGTGAGAAGACAGTAGTATATGATCATAATTTAAGTGAAACTCTATAGTAATTATATTTTGTAAAATAGTTGGAAGATGTCGTATATATTTATATCTCATATAAACACTGTGGTATTAGGCAGCTTAAACGCCTCTTTCCCAAGGAAATGTTTCGATACTCGAATCGATTTTCCAAGTATTCTCTTGTAAGGATCGACGAATTAAATATTAATGAAGAATAAATACAGTGTATTACAAAAATGGAGGAAGCAGGTCCCAGTATGAATAACAAAAAAAGAAACTTAACCCTCTGTGGGTCCATGTAACCATGAAGTCACACATCAGTGTATTTTGTTGATTTATTTCATTTTGCACTGAAGGTGGTGAATAAAATGAAGCAATCGGTTAACTGCAACTTTGATACGCTCAGACGTGAAAGTTTGTCATTGTAGCTTGTATATTGGCATCTTGAAATAAATCAACAAGATGAAATAAATCAACATTTCACACTCAAGGTGGTGAATAAAATGAAGTAATCAGTTAACTGCAACTTCTACACACTCAGGCGTGAAAGTTTCACGTCATTAAAATTAATTAACGGAATTATGGAAACTATTGAATACACTGTCAATTCGCATTCATACATGAATATTCATTAATTTTCTACTGCACAGATTTTCTTCTACTCGCGAACAAAAATGTCCATGGAGGGTTAAGGTTTCCACTGAATCATTGAGCCAACGTCGAAATGATTTGTATAACGCACGTACGCTGAAATAATCGTGTAAAATAGATTATAGGTAAATAGTGGAGATGAAAAAACGCACGTCTCGGGTCAGACGAAGAACGACGGCCAGCCGGTTAAACGAGTTCGAAGGAAGAGTGTCTGAATTCGTATTACATATTTTTCAGTGGTTGCAACGTGGAAGAAAGAAGTAGAGAGGGTTGTTGGTTGGAGAGGGAATCGTTGTCGGCCCCTTCCATCCTTTTGAAATTTCATTTCGAGTTAAAGTATTTCTAGCTTTTTTCCTTTGAAAGTTTAAAATGAGAGTGGGTGGTAGTTGGCCGCCGCCGCCGCCGCCAGAAGGGGCAAGGCGGGTTTGGGATTGGGGTTGAGGGTGGGGGAAGAAGGGTCGGAGCGGCGCGGCGCGGAGCGGCGGTGGGCGGCTGTATAAAGTTGGAGTAGAAGGAACGATAAAGAGGGGAATGAATCGCTACTACCCGAGCAACGCCCATGGTTCTCCGGTTCACGGGCCGCGTACAGTGCGCCACTCGACGGCTCTCCCAGCCTCCGAACTTAACCGAATGCCGACTGGTTTTCATATTTTCGATTATCCCGGGTTAAGCCAGGTCAGATGTATTCATCGCGCGCTCGGGACGCGGCCCGTTTCCTCGGCGAGTGTTTATCTGCCCGGGGAAAAATGGTTTCGAGCTAATTCGAGATTCGCTCGCACGGAATTCGGGTGGACTCGAATCGAATCGAGCGATAATCACGCGACGATGGAAATCTATTGCAGCGATATCCGATTGACGCGCGGAGCGCGCGGGAGGACCGAGAGGGCGGAAGGCACGGGGAACGATGGGGAGAAGAAAAGACGAGTTTTATATTTGCTTTCAAGTACGAACGTTCCGAATTGATTGCACGGGAGCTCTCCGCACATATGTGTGTGCATGTACAGGGCGCGCGAGAGAGTAAATAGCATGGTATGGTGAAATGCCTATAGGGATAAGCGTAATTAACACTGGAACTCGATTCTTCCGGCCGCGATTACGGAGACGTCTTCGAGAAACCAGAAGCTTAGCACCTAACGCGTAAAACAAACTCAAATCCTAGATTCTACAGAGATGTTAAAAATTCAGCTAAAACTCAGATTCTATCAACTACAGAGAAATGTTCTCAGCTATAGTGTTCAGAGAAGACACAAACTCAAATCCTAGCTTCTACAAAGGTGTTCAAAATTCGTCTGAAACTCAAATCCTATCAACTCTACAAAGAAATGTTCTCAGCTCTAATCAAGCTCAAATTCTAACCAACACCTTCCACCACTGAAGGCTACCAAAGACGATGTTTCAACACCTACCCTAAAATCTTAGATAAGAATCTACAAAGCAATATTCAAAATTCATCCAAAACTCAGATGCTATCAACTACAAAGAAATTCAGCTCTAGTGTCAACTAATTCCACCCAACACCTCCCACCATAGAAGGCTACCAAAGGCGATCATTCCCATAGTTACATACGTGTAATTACAGGGCGTGTAAGTATCCACGCAATGCATGTAGCGGACCCGTAGATTACTAGCTGCACGGAAACGATTCGAATCTGGGAGAGCGAGGAACGATTGAAACATCGAAGGTCGTTGGAAAGGAAAGAACGGGGACGGCCGGTAAACGGAGAACGTAAGAGCACGGAGGGAAGATCGAACGAAAAGCAATGCGAACGGTGGTCTCCGGTGGTCGCGTAATCGTCGACGAAGCCCGTGGCAAGATAGAAGTAACAGTGGTAACGGTAACGGTAACGTTAACGGTGGTGGCGGCGGCGGCGGCGGTGGCGACGGCGGTGGCCCGAGCCGACGACGTGGTCGATGGCGTTGGTCGCGTGCTGGTCGCGTGCCGGAGGCGGGGCCAAGCTCCGACTCTCTCGCGTGCCACCTCCACCCTAAAGTTCGCGGTCCCTGTTGCACCCTCTAACACCCTCCCGGCCCGGCACGGCGGGGAGCTCTTCTACTCGACGCGCGACGCCCCTCGGTACTCTTTGGTTCCTTGGGTTCCCCTTCTCTCCGCCGGTACCCGAATCTACAGTCGCTTCCTCGTCGGTTATTGATTCCCTCGGGTAGCCAGTCCCGAAAAGGGTGCTAAAATAGGATGAGAACTATCGAAAGGATGGAAATGAAACGAAACGAAACGAAACGAAACGAAACGATACGATACACGGGGAAAAGAAGCTCGAACGCTGACGCGCGTTTCGACTATTCGAGTCTATCGCTGGCTAGAGGTCAAACACGGCTTTTCTCTCCCCCTTCGCTCGATGGTGTCGTTCGTTTTCTTCTTTTTTCCTTCTTTTATCGCGATCGTAATCGACGTTCTTTTATCGCCGATTCGAATCGACGACACTCGAATATAAGGGCCGCGAGGGCGGCAGCGGATGGGAGCGTTTTTGAACACGTTTCCATACCAACAGAGACAAGATAAAGAGAATACGGGAGTCTCCCGTTACCGTGTTTAACTTCCCCGCGTATCGGGTAATCGAACGCGGCCCGGGATCGTGTTTCGAGAGAGCGCACGCCACGATTAATGGAGCTTTCGAGGACCGTTCGTTCGTTCGTTCGTTCGTTCGGCCATCGAACGTCTTCGATCGCTTCTCTCGCCGCGTTCGCCGGCTTTCAGGGTTTTCCATGGAGGAACACTCGCTCGCCGATGCCACCTACCCGCTCGGGACTCTGCACGCGCGTGTCCCCGCGCCGCCTTTGTCCGACGTGCTTTCTTTATTGCACGCGTGAACGGACGGTGGTGTGTGGCGTCGGTGATGGAACGTTGCGTGAGTATGATGAGGAGTACACGGAGGAAGTTTTATGAAGTATTAGGTTGTAACAGATTTGTAGGATTAGCTTCGAATGAACTGCTATTTGGTAATCAATATTTCCCATCGAATGACTATGGAGTAACCATTGAGTATCCGAGTTGTTTTAAGGAGGAACGTTGAAATTTAAATTTAGTTTCACTGGTAGTTTTATTAGTAACTACTAGAAAATATATATATTACTATATATATTACTATATTACTATATATTACTATATTACTATATATATTACTATATTACTATATATTACTATATTACTATATTACTATATATTACTATATATATTACTATATTACTATATATTACTATATATATTACTATATTACTATATATTACTATATATATTACTATATATATATTTTCCAGTAGTCACTAATTAAACCACCAGTGAAACCAACTGAAGAATTTCCACGTTGTTAAAACAACTCGAAGATCAAAATGATTTCATACAATATATATTTTCCAGTAGCCACTAATTAAACTACCAGTGAAACTAACTGAAAAATTTCAACACTCCCCGT